TTTTCTTTTTAATGTGGGAGACATCATTCTGCTGAATTCACGGTATATACTGAGATCGAAACTGGTTCGCAGTGGCCGGCCGATATGGTCGAATACGGCGATACCTCATCCGGACATCCATAAATTAACACCATGGCGACCAGCTTGAATGTCATGCTTTCTAAGGGCATTTTCTACGCGGAACGAGCAAGACAGTTCGAGGAACCCTGGATAGGCCTGACGTACCCCGACCGCACTGAAATGGTTCCTGAAACTTGAAGACCTACAGTCGGTCTTGCTTTACACGATCGCTATTAAATGGACCTTGGGATACTAAATAGGCCTGCAATTGTCCTAACGTTACACGTCCTCAACAAGGTGTCTGGAAGACCAGGAATTAATCTTCATAGGCCTAATTAGTCTGTCGGTCGAAGATGAGTTTCTTTCGAATGAAAAACGTAGGCCTAGGCTAAACCTTAATGAGTTCCGTACAGCAGGGGGAGGGTACAGAAGGGGGGTGGTTGAGATTGGGGTTAGTGGGTGAAGGAAGGTTAAACCATTAAACTTGGTTTTCACGTTACTACATTTTCCGTTACTCTCTGCTCTCTTCCCGACGGCAATCTAATTATCATGTTGTACACGCTACCTCGAATCCCGTGCGCCTTTAATTAAGCTGGACGCCTGTTGTGAAGAATGGTTTCGAGAGTCCTCAGGAAGTCTGGGCAAGAAAAGAGTTACTTCCCACCCGTCTTATTCCTTCACCCAATCGTGGATACCAAGGATATCAACAAGACCATTTTTTTTTCAAGCTTCTAGTGCATTGCTTACCTTCCAGAAGAGCATGTTTCCACCGAGAAATTCCAGGAAAAATAATTTAGATGATCGTCCCAGGAAATGTTCGTGAGACTTATTGGCCTTTTAATTCCCTGGTCTCATCACCCTTCCTGATCACCGACGCGACGCTCATTTCATCGAGCAAGAGACCTTGTTTTAAAAAAATGTTTATCATGCATTTCAAATGATCAAATTGGCTTATTCCAAGAAAGGCATCAGCTATCACGAGCCTTCCCGGATGTAAGAATAATTCTCACACTCATTCAATCCACTTTGATCGGATGGTATCGTCACCGACCGGAGGTTCCGCTTCCCAAATTGATCAATTGTTAGCAAACGGAGCCTTTGACTTGTGGAGCTACCCTTTCTTACGTTGCCACGCTGCTGGCAATGTCGAAAAGGTCAGCGAAATCCTTCTCCTCTTGACAATTACACCAACAGGCATAATTTCACCAACGAACATCATGGCCAACAGACATCCCTTACGAAAAATCCCCCCGCCAGTCCACCGGGGGACTATACAGATCCTCCAGGTGGTCCACATGTGGAATGGCAGTTACCTGTATGAAGTGGTGTAGACTAAGTCCCTCCAGGGGACTTGTCCGCATGGGGACTAATATAAATATACGAATTTTTCCATGTGAACTCTATGTGGATCCCCTTAATCCACATGTCAACCACATGTGTATTAATCAAAATCCTCTTGGTGGACTTAAGGCAGTGCCCATGTGTGGATTTTCCGTAAGTGATATTTGGCAATTGACCCAGTGCTGAATTTGGCTCGCAAAATTGTGTTCGGAATTGAAATTATTTATTGGCGGTCTTGAAATATCGGGGCTCGGCATTTCATCAAAACACAAATCTAGCTAGAAAAAGCTATCCCATTCCAAACAGGAATACAAGTAATTATTTTCCACCATCCTGAAATTTTAAAACAGGAGAACTCACCATCTACGAAGAGTTTCCCGTTGATCCGCAGCATAGGGTAGAAGGCCTCTTCATCCAATCGGCTGATGTTATTTTTCATGAAATACAAGACGCTTACGGCTGGGAGACCTACATACAGAATTCCTCTTCTGTTCGTTTATTTAGGATATTGCAATTGTTCTAGACAGCATTAATAAAGGCGAGAATAGGTGAAATTGACGCTTAAAAATCAGGACCTCATTTCTTATATATTCTCCCTTAATCTTTTAACTTTGTTTTCATGAAATATCTTCGAATGCTACCTGTTATGCATTTTCTTCCATGCTTGGTTTCTACGAGCAAGGATTCGACATTGGGCAGTTTAGAGTGCCAACCATCGAGGATATGCAAGAAGCAGGTCGTCGACCGGGAGACCAAATCTTCCTTCGAATTTCATATGTTATGGTATTATACTGTACCATATCGAACCATGAGCCCCCGAAATATCAAGCTTGGACCCCGAAAGGGCATCTTACCTGAAATCGCGCCTGGTTCAACTCTCGAGATAGAGTTCTCATCGAGGTATATGATTTTGAGGCGGGGCGCCCGCATTTCGAAGATCCCAGAAAACAAAGTCGGCCCGAGGTTGCACCCGTTGCAATGAAATTCCTCGAAGTTGGGCATATTATGGAAAAATCCAGCCGGCATCTCCGAGAGGGGATTACCTCCTGCATAGGGTGGAATCAAGATTATCCGTAGAAACAGTAAAATAAAATATTTTTCATGTAAAAAAGGCAAAACATTGTCTGATCGAAGGTGGTTCGCACTGTGCCCAAGTCACTCGCAATGTACGGATAATACCTTGGCAGTACCTTTCACCTGCTTTTACCCCCTTCAGAATCCTTTAAATCCTGACTGTACGGAAACCATAATATTGTCATATAGGTTTGGGAGTTTCTTTCGAAAAGTTTTACGATTTTCTTTTAATATGCTACAAAAAAGGCGGAAAACAGCGTCTCTACCCCTCAGAGATCTGTTGAGAGATCGACTCTTCCAAGGATGGAAAATGCTTTTCACAATCATTGTATATTTTTTTTTAGCTGAGATGATCTCACGTGAAATCAATCAGTAAATATAATTGTCTAGAATCGCCAAGTGCAATGACATTCTTCCATTCGCTGCCACGACATTTCCTCTCAGAGAACAACTAGTTCTCAGGCACTCACAGAAAGGTTAAAGTAATAATTCACCTGGAATATGGGACGCACCGCAAGTGGTGCTTCGGATAGCAATGCTGCAAACTATCACGAAGTCTATCCACTATTTCCCTCAACATCACTTAAGCAACAATGTACCCTAGCAAGGGAGATCGTGGGAATAAAAAGACTAAGGGTATTCAAGAAACTGAAATCACAGGATTCACCATGGAAAAACTCACCCATTTTTAGAGTCATTAGGGTCGGTATATCCCAGCCGGAATCTAGTTTGGCGATTTGATTCCCATCAAGATGGAACAAACCGAGATTCCGAGTTTGGAGAGGAGGAACATAGGTCAAGGCATTGTTGCTGAGGAAGAGGCTGCTCAACCATTCATTGAGTTGGGGTATGATTTCCCAAGGGAAGTCCTGCAGGGCGCAGTTCGTGATTTCCAGCATACGTATTCGATCCTTCAGAGGAAGAATGGCCTGGGGATGGACGTGCCTCAGTGCCGTATTGGATATGGTAACTATCCTGAAGGTCACGTCGCCAAACACTCCTTCGGGGAGTTCTTGGACCATGTCGTTGTCGAGAAGACGGAACGTCCTGTCAGAGGACGGAGAAATCATGAAGCCATTTTGGCATTTGATGGAGACAAGGAAACGGAAAAGTATTTATCTGTCATTCCCATATGGGGAAATGACAGATATTGCTATCAGTATGTCACTTTTTTCATCCTATCTGTCCGCAGTTTCCATAGCTACACGACCCGTTGCGCATGTGCAGCTTCCCGCCTCGGTTGGGACGCCCGTCCTCCACAAAAACATCCATTTCCCTTCCAGCCCTCGCAGATTACGGATCGTTAGAGGGTAATGGGAGAGATCGGCTGCTCGCGGCGCCAGACAGGATTCAGGATGCATCTGGCATCCTGAACTTCATACTCTCCTCGCGTCTCCACGCGACGCGGACGCGGGAACCATTGAAAGCACCAGTTATCTGGGACTTTTTACGTATACTGTACCAATGACAGTGTTTTCTATTTTGTAAAAGTTATATGGCTAGGATGTGGCAAAGAAGATCATTTCATTTGATAAGCTACCAGTGGAATGGCAGATCTTTACCTGGACTGGAACCATCGTTCTATTTGCGTCTGTTCAGCAGGGAATTACGTACTTTAAGCACGTACTAAAGGGCGAGGGGGGAGGGAAGGAACGCATTTCCAGGCATTCAGATTCAAGAACTCGGTACTGAAGTACTTTTTGGCTTGTTGAGGTCAGGAGGTACCCTACTTTTTCAGGTACATCAAGAGCAGAATTTTGGAGGGCCATCTCTTCGAACATTTCTTCGCTTCAACTGAAGGGAATGATTTGATGGAAAGTGGAAACGTTTACTTTAGGAAAAAAACCCTCCCT